CTTTTTATGTCTGTCATGCACAGACAAAATCGCACACACATATTCTCTACAGTCTTTCATTATGCAAAGCTCTCTAAGAGGAGAGGAAGGGTGCACAGGTGAGGATTTATGTCCATCCAACAAGGACCAATGAGGCTTCTTTATACACAAAGTACAAATAGAGTTATTAGAGGAGACCAAGGCTAAGATGAGTGTTGAGAGGGGACAGATACACTGCTTCTACCAAATTCCATTTGAAGAATATTCCCATTGTTGCACGGACAGCTGTTTAATCAGACTCACTCTTTCTCATAAAGGCTGCAGGGTAAGAAAAGTGTTCTTTGTAAAAGATTTTAGTTTTAAGATAAGGTATAAAAATATATATGAGAGCCATTTACCACCATTTTTATACACTTCGGGCAAAATGTCTGTATTGCTTCTCTGTGTTTTTGGCTCAGCTAGTGTAAGTAGAGTCGTGATTATTATTTTTTATTAAATATTTGTTTAGTAACTGAAAGGTAGGGAGCCTTTGGTTCTCTCAGTAAAAGTCCCATTCATTTTCTACAAAGACATTGTTCGGTGATGGGCACAGAACTCTTCTGGTTGAATCATCAGTTCAAAAGTTGAGCTGGCTTTTTCTCCACAGCAACGGCTGCCAAGGCTATTATTATAGTATTTAGAGCCATTCACATTAACAAATTGACGGAAAAAAACAGGATTTCTCCAAACAAAGTTGAAATGACTAAAAAAGATGGTCATGAACTAAAAATAAAGCAATGTGACATTATCGTTTCTGTGTTGAAGAACATTGAGAATATCAGCAATTGGAACAGGATTTTACTAAATATTTCTGGAACCAGAATCTTTTGCAACTCTAATAAAATACTTTTCATTTATTATAGAACCTCTGTCTCACTACCATTTGCAAGTTTTTTTGAACTGCAAGTTTCTTTTCCTCGTGCATTACATTATAGTACAATAGCTTCCGTCAACACTCGCTCAAAACCCAAGCCAATTTACTCTGCATATCTTTGAGCATACTAAATTATTTCACATTTTCATCATGAATGCACTGAAAACCCAGTTACAACATGTACTGTATATGTAGTATGGAATCGGGGTGCAGATATTTGCATGTCATCCCGTAAAGCTCCAAGAAAGTCGTGCAAATCAATCCTTTCACGGCTGGCTTTGTTTAAAAGATCACACCATTTTCTTTTCTATGAGACCATATGTGTTTGATTATGTATTCCCTCCATCTGCCAAACAGGTTATTGCTGTGCTGTTGGTGTGATCCCCCATTCAAATGATCTGATGCTAGGCACCTCACAGCTAATGCTCTCATTACAGCTCAGACATGCTGAGAAGAAAAGCTCAACTGTGTGCATGTATTAATGTGTGTTGGGGTTTGTGTGAGTAAGTGTAAGTCATGCGTACATATGCTTGCTGGCATATGACGGTAATTCTTTTTCCATGCAGATCACTGTGCATATTTCAGCCATATAGTATGCCTCTTAGCGTATGTGAGCCTGTGTAGGTGTGTGTGTGTGTG